TTTTTTCTAGCAATCTTACAAAGCAGCTGTCCGTTCGGGAGCCTGGGTGGTTCAGTGGGTTAACTGTCCAACTTCAGCTCAGGTCATGATCTCACGGTCCATGAGTTCAAGCCCTGCGTCAGGCTCTGTGCTGACAGCTCAGAGCCTGGAGCCTGCCTCAGATCCCGTGTCTCCCTCTCTCTCTGTTCCTCCCCCACTCATGCTCTAACTCTCTCTCTTAAAAATAAATAAATGTTAAAAAAAAAAACAAAGCAGCTGTCAGTACAATAAGGGTTTGAGGACTGAGTTCAACAGGGATTATGTAGTAGGAGATCCTAGTCCTTGTTATTGGAAGTTTCCATGATGATAACAGTAATGTAATTTGGTCATGAATGCCTGTGATGACAGCATCAAAAACATGCTATCCCCAAAGTTCCCCTTAAATATGACTTGCCTAACAGACATCTGCACAAACACAAATAACTTTATTCACATGTTAGAACAGTGTTTGAGTAGATAGTGTTTTAAGGACACTTAATACAATACATTTCTTGAACTCAGATTCGAGTTAAAAAAAAAACTATATTCAAGCTCTGGGTATTTTACTTAAAAATTTTGCATGTAGCCCACTTGTTTCTGCACAAAGGTAAAATACTATCTGTATTTGCTTAATTCCCCATACTTTGCCATTTCATCATGATCTTGTACCCCCATTCATTTCATTGTTCATCTAAGTTTACATTTCGTTTACCCACACTTTTCTGAGCTAATTTTCTCTCTTTATGTTCTAAAGGGTAGCTTTGAGGTTTCGGGTATTCCTTCCCAAGGTCCACAACAATTACCTCCCTAGAAAATGTCACTCCTTTTAAAGGTCTTCTGTGGTTTTCAACAGCTGATTGACTTCTGGTGACAGGTATGGGTGGTTTTTGCAAATCATCATCCTGCAAGAGAATGGGGCAACAGTCAAATGCTTAATTTACGAAAGCAACAAGCCCTTCTTTAAAACACCTAAGTTTATATTTTTAATTTAATTTGTATTTTAAATTAAATATAGAAGCATTGTTCGTGAGAAACAGAAGAAGTGTTTCTAAGTGATACAGGAAAGCAGCAGTAATCCATCATGATCTCATTTTCATATTTCTATGGTTACAAAGGAGCCCCCTGCACTGTCATTCTGCCTCTGGGCTTAGGCCTTGTGTAAGGGAAGATGTGAACTGTCCCTATCAGGGAACCCCAACAGGGAGCTCGAGAAGGTGCAGGGGTGATTGTATGCTGTTGTATAAGGAGCCTGGAACCAAAACGGGGGTGTGGGGCCTGGTCCTGAGCTTGGCTATGGGGGAAGAATGACCTTGAGCAATTCATCTCATTTTCTCATCTGTAACATGAAAGGACTGGATCCCTAGATGATCTCCAAGGACTCCTCCAGGTCTGAGATCTTAGGATTCTGGGGAAAGCACAATGAAGGGGAACTATTAGGAACAACACAAATGTAAGAGTAAAGAATGGGAAAGTGTCTAGATTTGGCACGTATGACTGGTTTAATAACACAGACTGATGAGCTAAGAAGATGGTTTGGATGACTGCAGACACGATGCTCCTTTCAGGTAAAAACTTAAGTTGCAGGCAAAGCCATGTCATTGGACCCAGCCAAGTCATTTACCACCTTTTCAATTAAACAAATTCTAAACGGCCCCTTGAGAGTAGAAAAGTCCGTCACCTCTTGACCATTTCCTTCAGCATTCTTAGGTTCTTGCTTCTCTCTTACTATGTCCTCCCCCTCTTCTTCCATGTTTTCTTTCTCTTCTAAGGGTGTGATCAACGCTTCTTTACTCCGTCTCTGGACAAGAATGCCAGGCCTCATGGGTGCGTTCAAGTCTATGATTTGTGTCAGGAGAGTCCTAGATAATCGATCAGCAGGATTTTTAGAAATTCAGGCGTGTTAGCCACCATTGCTATACCCCAAAATGACTTTCTACAACATTCTACGATACAGACTTACTTTTCTTGGTCTCTTGAAATGTTCGCCTCCACATTAGCAGCTAAACAACCTTCACCTCCATTACCATCTGCACAAGGGCGTTTTTCTGTCTGTACATCTTTCTTGCTTTGGAAACTGAAAATGAATAAGCAAAAAATTCAGAAAAAGGAGAATGGCCTCGAATTGAATGCTTGGCATAGAACATCACTTTTAAACAGGAAATTAGATTTCCTAAAATTCCTAAATGGACAAAGTAGGTAGCTATGGCGTTACTGGCTCTATCATAAATTGACTTAGATTATTTCTAGATACATTTGCTAGCATGACTTGAAATCTGATCCCAATTTATCAGCATGGATTTATACCATTTATATAAAAAAACCACCAATAAAAGGAGGATGCAAATGAAGCAAATTAGAAGGAGGATGAAGAAAGTGATTGCGGTGATTTCAAAGGCCAGAGGATTAGCCAGAAGACTCATCTACTCTCACAGTCACAGATCATGCAATATTCTTTTCCAGCTTAGTTTGAATGTAGTTCTCTTGTTCTTTACGTTTTCTAGAAACAGAAGAACACAAGGCTATTTTCATTGTTGTCCTTTTGATCCACTTCATAAAAGATGCTCTGCTTGTTTCAATGAAGTTGACTCACACTGGCTAATTTCTCTCCATAAATATGGTGGGGGCTCAGGTGGTTGGAGGGGAGACTGAGCTGGGACACGTGGGATCGGCTCAGCTCACCTCCCCTCACCCCGAAAACTATCAAGAATCCAGAGGAGAGGAATTGGAGCAGCTGGAGCCAAGCCCAGCTCCCCATTCTTTTCTCTTCAGTGACATCATAGAATCATGGAACCGTTCAGTTAGCAGGACCAGAGTGCCAGCCCAACCCTGCCCATCACCGGAGTCAGGAGAACTACGAAACTCTCCTCTGGGCTGCTATCTGTCCTCTCAGAGGGCTGGGGTGGAGGCCATGTGGCACCACCATGACTACTCTTTGCACAAGGATTTTCTTTCTGCTCTCTGAACACCAGCTTTCCTTTCTTAACCTGAGCCTGTTTCTCTTATGCTTCTTTCACAGACAATGAATAATCAGTCCACTTCCTTCTTATAAAATCCCTCTCTGGAGTAATCTAGTTACCTCCTAATGGGTGCTTTCCAGGCTAAATAGCCTATATCTTTCTAATCTCACATCCCTGGACCTACTTTCTGGACAAATAAGCAAACTGGCACCTCTAGTAGCTATGGCTGAGGAAGCAGGAGCAGAGCAAGATGATCAGAGTCATGATGATCCTGCCCCCAACCTCACTTCAGGTGAGTGAGTGATGCCCACAATGGAGCAGAGCTAGGGTTTTCTGAGAAGCAAAGGAAGGTACAAAGGAATATGGCAGGTACTGCCAACCACATCTAAAAGAGTCAGAAAATGAGCCCTTGGGGGTCTCTGGGCTGTAGTAACACTGGCTCTCCTTCAGAAGGGCGAGGACTACGGTTTTTTTTATCACTGGATACTCCACCAAATCAGAATCTGCAAAGCCTACAAATGTTGAATGGATGGGTCTGTGCAGCAGGTGTGGTATGTATGTATGTGGTGTGTGTGTAAGTACAAGTAGAGCTTGTTGGAGGGTTCAGGCCAACCCTGATTTCTAGAACATGGGGACATCTAGGCCACTCCTGGCAGAGTCAGAATTCACAGATGCTTCCTGCAGCAAGGCTCCCAGATAAAGACTCAGAGCCCATATCACTCTCCTTCCTCTACACTGCTGCCAGACTGAAACTTTAAGAGCCCAAATCTTCCCATGTCTCATGTACACATAAAGGATTTTCCTGGAAGATGGGACTATTTTTGATCTACTGTTACACACATTTAGACTTATGTAAAAACCCATCAAACTGTATCCTTAAGACTAGTGTGCCTTGTGTCATCTACTGTGTGGATACCACACGGAATAGAAAGTAAAAAGGGGCCCCATTCCTACACTGGGCTTGAATGTGTGTGGTGCCATGAGCAGTGCTGGACCAGAGGGCACTGATGCTAGTTGGTCCTGCCTCCAAGACTTTGTACCAGATATAGTCTGAGACCAGAGACCTTTAGCAACAAGTAAGGGCTAGTAAGACTATCATAAGCATTTTCCTTCATTGAATGTAACTTGGAAATCGATGTTAAATTTATATATATAGTTAACATAATTCTGAAAAGTGTAAGGTTATCCAACTTTGTCCATAAATCACATTTTTAAGTACACTGGACTAGAAGTTTCTGATGTCATGATACTCGAAGATGGATTCCAGAACCTAACCCAGGGCACCTTGCACATGGGTGTGTGCTCAAAAATTACACATGGTGGGAAATTACTACCAATTCTACAGAAATTTAAAAATATTCTAAGAGAGTATTATGAAAATTGTATGCTGACAAATTGAATAATCCAGATGAAATGGAAAAATTCCTAGAAAAACAATCAGACAGAATTGTGAAGATACAGAAAATCTGAATAGAAATATAATAATGAGACTGAATCAATAATCAAAACCTTTGAACAAAGAAAAGCACTGAACCAGATGGCTTCACTGGAGAATTCTATTAAACATTTAAAGAAGAACTAACCAATCTCTTTCAAACTCTTCCAAACAATTGAAGAAAAGGGAATACTTCCTAACTCATTGCATGAGGCCAGCATTATCCTGATACCAAAGCCAAAGACAATACAAAAAAAGAAACCTAAAGACTGATCTCCCTTATGAACACTGAAGCAGAAATCCTCAATAAAGTACTAGCAAACTGAATTTAGCAGCATATTGAAAGGATTATGCCACAACATAGTGGAATTTATTCCTGGAATGCAAGGATGGCTTAACAGAAAAATCAATGTAATATACCACATTAACAGAATGAAGGGGAGAAAAATACATGATCATCTCAATTGATTCAGGAAAGGCATCTGACATAATTTAACATCCTTTTCATGATGAAAAACACTAAACAAATTAGTAATAGAGCCTACTCCAACATAATAGAGCCCATATATAGGAACCCCTATATATAGGAACCCATATATAGGAACAGCTAACATCATACTCAGTGGTGAGAAAGTATTTGCAAATCACATATCTGATAATGGATTAATATCCACAATAAATAAAGAACTCCTACAACTCAACAGTAACAAAAAAAAAAAAAAACCAATTCAAAAATGGGCAAAGGAGTGTGGAGGTTCCTCAGAAAATTAAAAATAGACCTACCCTATGACCCAGCAATAGCACTAAGTAGAATTTATCCAAGGGACACAGGGAGCACTGATGCTTGAAGCACTTATAACTTCCAATGTTCATAGTGTTAACTCCTCAACAATAGCCAAATTATGGAAAGAGCCTGTCGTCCATCAACCGATGAATGGATAAAGAAATTGTGGTTTATATACAACAATGGAGTACTACGGCAATGAGAAAAAATGAAATATGGCCTGTAGCAACGCGATGGAACTGGAGAGTGATGCTATGAAACAAGCCATGAGAGTTATCAGATACCATATGGTTTTCACTTATGGATCCTGAGAAACTTAAGAGAAAACCCATGGGGAGGAACAAAAAAAAAAAAAAAAAAAAAAAGAGGTTAGAGTGGGGAGAGAGCCAAAGAGACTGTTGAGAACTGAGAACAAACTAAGGGCTGATGGGGGTGGAGGAGGAGAGGGTGGGTGATGGGTACTGAGGGAGGGCACCTCCGATGAGAGCACTGGTGTTGTATGGAAACCAATTTGACAATAAATTTCATATAAAAAAAAAAAAAAAAACAAAATGGGCAAAGGACTTGAATAGACATTTCTCCAAAGAAGATATGCAAATGGACAATAAGCACATGAAAAGATGCTCAACATCACTAATCATTAAGGAACAAATCAAAATTGCAATGAAATAACCACTACACCCATTAGTAAAGCTATTACTTAAAAAAAAAAAGAAAAAATAACAAGTGTTAGTAAGAATGTGGAGAAGCTGGGGCAGAATTGTTGGTGGAATGTAGCAAGTACAGTCACCATGGAAAAAATATAACTGTAAAAATTAAATATAGAGTTCCATACGATCCAGCAACTTCACTTCTGGGTATATTCATGAGAGAAGGAAAGCAGGGACTGGAACAGATATATTTGTACACCCATGTTCACAGCAGCATTATTCATAATAGCCAAGCAAGCGTGGGGTGGGGGCTGTGAGAGAGAGAGAGAGAGAAAGAATCCCAAGCAGGCTCCACATCATCGGTACAGAGCCCAACCTGGGGCTTGAACTCACAAACCATGAAATCATGACCTGAGCCAAAACCCACTGAGCCGCCCAGGTGCCCCCCACCCCAGGAGACTTTTTGACCTTGTGATTCCAACCCAGGGAAGAAGTAAGAGGACATTCCATCTCACCTCAGAAGAGCAAGTTTCCCCCAGGGTGTGTACAGACCAAGCCTTTTGCACATTACGTTGGTCCCACCCCTGTGACAACCCAGCACCCTTAACAAGAAGTAGGAACCATTATCAAGAGGCAAATAGGGGACTTCCTTTGGTGTTTTATTTTGGAAGCTTGAGCTTGAAAGGATGAGAGCACTATCTCCTTCTGGGGATGCTGCTGTGGGAGGTGAAGCCAAGCCCACCTCTGCTGTCTAACTGGAACACGAGTGGTTTTTCAATTGATTTTGTTCAGCCAGTAAGCTTTTTGCTTTTATCTCTTTTAAAAGACACAATTTGCTCTAATCATTTGTACTGTTATTGTTATTTACATATTTTATTTTAATCTGTTTTAGTTTTTACTTGCTTTCCTCAACCTCTGTACTCATAGCCTTTGATCTAAACATTTTCTGATAAAACATTAGGAATTTCCTAGGGCAGAGCTTCTCTATCTGTAGCAAAGAAGCAGGTTTCAATTTTTTTTCTCCCAATCCACTGAGGACCAATACTTGTGCAAAACAGAATTATTAGAGTGATCATATGTTTGGATGTTACAGCAATGTAAAATAGTTATTAAAAGTTTCTAGGTATGTACTTTCAATTTCTGTATTGTGTTGCAGACCAGTGGCAATTTAAGGACAAATACCTACCCAGAGATTACACCTGGATTAACACTGATTGAACAACGATTTGTTTAAAAATTTTTTTTTCAATGTTTATTTATTTTTGACAGACAAAGACAGAGTGCGGTAGGGGACGTGTAGAGAGAGACGGAGACACAGAGTCCGAGGCAGGCTCCAGGCTCTGAGCTGTCAGCACAGAGCCCAACGTGGGGCTCGAACTCACGGACAGCAAGCTCATGACCCGAGCCAAAATCAGACACTTAACTGACTGAGCGACCCAGGCATCCCAGTAACTGTTTTAAATAACATTTGTGTTGGGGCACCTGGGTGGTTCAGTCGGTGAAGAGGCCAACTTCAGCTCAGGTCATGATCTTGTAGTTCATGAGTTTGAGCCCTACGTCAGGCTCTGTGCTGACAGCTCAGAGCCTGGAGCCT